CCTTAACAGCAACCCAGTGATTGCATCATACAAATGAGAACCTGTGACTAAGTGCAATGCATGTAGTCAATACAATTCCAACAACTTGCACCCCGACCATGGCGTTTGCTTGTACGCTCCCGCTTCAGGCTTAACATGCCTCCACTCATGCTGTCCGGACTGGCAAAAGCCATCCGTACATGCGAGGTCTGCAATGTCATCCTCAGTCTGCCCGGGTTAGGAAGGCCAGGGGGCAATCATCTATTGTTTTGGAGGATATAAGGGTGATACAGGGGTAATATAGGGATAGTGGAAAAGAGAATGGAAACTGCTATGTAGTATACTGGGATTATATGCTATCTTAAAGAAAAACACTGCAATGTGTAAATGCCTGGGGTTACATTGCTTCTAGCCCCTCGATCACAGGCACAAGTCCTTGGACCTCAGAGATTCCGAAAGTTTTCGCCCATAGCCTGCCCAAAAGATTGGGCTGGTTACGGCACAACTCACTCACAACTTTTTATGCGCCAAACTGTATATAGTCGCACAGTGCCACGTCATGATTATTCTTAGTCGGTTTTCATGCAGGGGATGGACAGCGATCTGCTCTGAAAGGCGACTCATCGAAAAGCACGATCACTGCCGACCAATCTGTAGATCTCAGCATTCCCCTTGGAAACTGCCCCTGCTGTAGGATTGCTTGGCATTGCTTGATGCAGCATTTTTGCAGGCGTTGGCTTCCATCAGGAGTTTGCACATCTGTTTAGAACAGTGCAATTTGTCAGGCAAGGCTTAAAACTGCAGCCTTAGAAGCCCTTTCACAGGTACTGTACTACACTTGTACCCCAGAAGGTCCCAGTATTCAAGCAATAACTCACGAACCTCTCAAGAAATGCCCAAGCTAACTTCGCGCGCGTGCCTGCTTCTGGCAGGCAGCTGTGCTTTGCAGTTCGCATCTTTATGTCGGATTGTATTTTTGCTATACTCTAGGAACTTTAGGAGGGACCCCTAATAGGGACCGTTAATCCCATTACCATATATAACCCTTATATAGTCATTATATAACCCCTATATACTAAAGCCCCTGGATATACTTGTGTATGCGCATGATGGGTTGGCCCTTATTATTTTAGCCTGCATACAGACGTGCGATGAGGCCAACTTTGCCAATGTGATCTGGAGATTGCTTGGAGCCTAAACGCTGAGCCCTAAACAATAAGCTCATGAAATGATGTGCCACATGGTTACTAAACTTCATCCCCAAACCTTCCAAGATATCCGTGCGTGCATGGCAGACATCCGACTAAAAGGCCCCAGATACTTAATTATGTACATTGTAGTCCTACATTGCTTGTATGATTATGGTATAGGGTACCCCACGTATACCTTAAAGCTATACTGGCAATTATTGAGGTCCTAGCAGTGCAGAATCTCTATAATAAGCCTTAAGATGGACCTAGTTTCGTATTCATCTCCACTTGATGTTTGATTTCACCCGCCCAAGATGGCTTGATGAAGAGCGGTTCAAGGCTGTGATGGGCCGTAGGGGAGTTTCTGGAAACAGTGCCTCTTAATTCCAGAAGATTTCCCTATAATCCGTTGGCAATTTTACATGCCTAAGCAGTATTGCTGGTATATGATGGTTTCCAGAAAATGGGGGACCCCAATTTAGCCTTGAAAATACGAGAACCCTTATTACGGGACCCCCTGATTTTTGGAAACTCTACACTCTATATGCTCCTATATAACCCCCAGGCAACCCTGATAGAACCCCTAAACCCTAAACCCTAAACCCTATCCCCATAAGCCCAGGCTTCCTCCAATCTTGTGAATCACCTGTGAGTCTCGAAAATGCAAGGTGTATAGGGTTTAGGGTTTAGGGTTGTAGTTTTGTTGCCAAAGACTACAATCTCAGCGTTCTCCCCAGGGCTACTACCTCCATAAGGGCCCCAAGTTTTATGAATATAACCTGCATTGGGCCATTTGCAGCCTTTGGGTTCTAACGTACCTGAAACCATTCCCGAAGTTCATCATCAGGACCCTTGGGGTGTGCTTTGTTGCCAGGAGGCCTTTTCGGCGCCTTTCCGCTGAGTTTTCTCGGTTCAGGACATCTACCAGGCACACTGTTAGAGGATTTAGGACCCATAATAGTAGACAATGAAATTCATCAAGCTCTTTCACGTAGGATAGACCGTAAACCTTACGTTGTATTGCGATGCTGTGAATTTAGGCAACAAATACAGTGACCCCATGCTAGTACAGAACGTTGTGTCGCGTGTTCTCATTCTGGGTCTGGCTGCGTGCGTGGCATGACTCAAGACCTTCTGTGGTGACTGACTAATTACCTGGCCTACTACTGCTGCAGCTCTTGCCTTGTCGCGGCCACAACCACTGGTGCCATTTCTGCGTCGGCTGCTGCCGCTTCTTCCTGCTTTTGCTGCTGCACAAGGAGTCCTTTTGAGTTGTATAAGAAGCCGATCGGGGCATATGCCAAGATTGTAGCCGCAAGTAGTGGGCATGGTAGACGGATCCTGCATATGCTTAGTTCCAAGGCAGAAGCGCAGACTTCCCGCCTCACCCTACAGATACGCTAAACCAAGAGCCCTGAACTCTGGACTGTCTTTGAGCCCAAATGTTCAATCGGATCCAGCCAAACTGACCCAAATCTCAGCTTAAAGTACAGTAGGTACGTGAGAGCTTTCATGGCTCAAGTTTCTGCACCTACGTGGGAACTTCATAGCAGACGTTCACACACGATTTGGTTCTACTTGCGCTCATGGACTTACGAATATTCCCCCAAACCACTTGGAACCCTAAACTACATGCAAGTTGAACCCTGAAACCCCTAACCCCTTGACCCTTAAAACCTGCATATCCCTCAAATCCTGAATTACACGTAGACCTCAAAACCCTAAACCCCGAACCCCATATAACCCTACATAGTCCCAACATAATATATGCCCACAGCTCGCCGGGGGCGTCGTACAAGACGAGCTGCTGAGGCCGGTTGGAGCGCTTCGAGAATGAAGCTGGTTTGGTGTTTAGGGTTGCAAAAGTAGGGTCTCAAGACCAAGTAAAAGGAGCCAGAGGGCAATTGTTCTACATACTCTTGGAGTTTAGGCAATTGATGCTGACATTGAAATTAAGGCAAGTATAGGGATATACACGGACTGGGGGCTAGGTGTATGGAAAATGAAGCGGAAATTAAGGAATTTACACGTAAACATATATATATACACATATTTGTGTGTGTGTCTATATATGTATATGGGTTAAGGGTTGTGTTCAGTCTGAATGTTTGGGCAACATTGGGTAGGATTGGGGGACTCCAGGAACCGATGCACCTATTCTTGATTGGCATTTGGCTGTTTTGAGGCCACGTTGAAAATTGAAAGTATGGAGCTTGGTACGGAGCCATGTGCGAGAGGAATACAGTTGGCATTGCAGTTTGGACTTGCGAGAGAGCTTATAATTGCATGGCACTTTGATCCTGAGGGACGGACTCTAGAAAGACTTCTGGGGATATCCCAGTATATGCAGGGGTTCATATATCTCCCAACAGAAGCACTTCGGTCGAAGCTGCATTTCGCTGACTTCAAAATGGCCCTCCTATGCCTTAGGGAGAACAGCGGATGAAGAGACATCTTAGGAGGCCATGCTATGGGTGCCATTCGGCATTGGACCGGCTGATGTCCCGCGATTCCCGACGGAAGGGGGTTTCAGGGTTTGGGGCTTGTCAAAACAAACCCGGTTAACTTACAGACAGTACATGCGCTCAGACGCTCAGACCCTCAGGCTAGGTCTGGGTGTTGGGTTCAGGGCTTAGGGCTTAGGATCTTAGAGTGTAAGATTCATGGTTCGGGGTTTTGTGGGTAGAGAAGATTTTTCAAAAGCTGGGTGCTTGCGCACATTTTTTGGCAAGCTATGTGCTTGCCAGCTTCAGGCTTTGGTTGGGAGGTAAGGATCTACTGCAGGGTCCTTGCCAAAGGTCTCAACCGATTTGGATCATTGGTTCCCAAAAGAATCTTTATACTAAATCGGATTTTTCTGAATTCGCAATACAATCCTTACCAGGGGATCCCTGCGTAATCCATGTATGATGCTTTATATCCCTGCGTCCCTAAGAGTCCTCCAACAAACTCTTGTAATTATACGTTGCCAAGAGTCTTTTTTTGTGTATGCCGTGAGGCCTCTTCTTCCGCGCCAAAGGCACGGGCCCTTGCAGCTGATACACGTAGCTGTGTGTTGTTCAGGGTCCATGTAAGTAGATAGTACATACGTCAGGCCAGAGGAGTTCCTACATAGGTACGTTGGGCCCAAGTATATACTATGTTGGTGCACGAACCTTCTGCATTGAAGATGGATATAGGGGTATGGGGGGTGGCGGTGGGAAACTTGAGCGTGGTTTGAGCTCTGGCTTGAAGATTCGTGGATGCGGTGCAAATGGGAGCTGTGAAGGGAAAAGGATGCAAGGGACAGCGTTCTGTCGGCGACCTGTCGGTTGCCCTTTTGGTTCACGTGGTCAGCACCCATGCGCCACTTGACAAGGCTCTTCTGCTTAAGCAAAATCAGACGCCACTGAAATTTGAACATCCTCGAGGGTCGAGGGCTATCAACGGCTTGTAGGTCAGGTGAGAAGCGGATGAAGGCTCCTAATCCTCAAATCCTTTTTGGCCCTGTACTGTAGGCCTTGCAACTCTGACACCACAGCATGTTGCAACTACAGATAACATGTTGTGGCGCTTCGCGACTTCACCCGGGACAAGAAAGCTGCGGTTCATATTCTTTGAGATAAGCACAGCGGCCCAAAACTGTTCCTATCAAATCTTCCGACATTACTGCGTATCATTTGAGGACTACTGGGGGGCTTGGCCATGTTGCCTTACCGTGGTCCAATTCCAGAGAAAC